AAAAGTTGTATAGTTTCGAGGGGGACATAAGATGGTCGTTGATTTAGCATTGTCAAGGTCAAGGTAAAGTCATTTTGAATTTTTTAAAGAATCCTCCATTTTTTATTAGATATTTTTGTAACTTATCTCAAGAGCTTCCCAAAACACTATAATTAAGTATTCATTTTTATGAAATACTTTTTGAGTTATAAGGTTTGTAAGTTACAGCATCGCATTAGCATTATCCAAGGTGTCCGACCAACGGCTAAAACCTCTTGAATGTTCAGGATCATGACTTGGATAACATTTATCAAGATCAAGGAGGGTTGTATCTCTTGTTTTCATTTCTACATAGAAATGATAATTTTTAGTGAAAATAAAAGGAACAGTCTCCAATGATCTTGATCTTGATGTTATCCAGATCATGATCCTGAACAACATTCAAGAGGTTTTAGTTGTCGGATACCTTGGGTAATGCTGATGTTGGCAGTGCTGTAACATGTCAAGCCTTATAATTCGAAAAGTATTTCATGAAAATGAACTTAATTATATTGTTTTGGAAAGCTCTCGAGGTAAGCTACAAGAATATGTAATAAAAAATAAGGATTCCATTTAAAAAATTTAATGTGACCTTCGTCTGATCTTGACAACACCACCCAAGGTCAAAATGATACCATCTTATGTCCTGTTCGAAATCATACAATTTTTGTCTGAAACATTTTTTTTGTATCTACCATATTTTTCGAGATATTTGCCTGAGGCGATTAAAATGAAACACATTGTATATCTATATATATATATGTGTATATACTATAGATGTAACAGCATATATCTATATTTGTAGTCATTCGAACTGCGCGCCGAATTAGTTTCCTGGACTTATAAAGGTAATTAAACTACTGTAATATTACAATTAAATTAAATTGACAAGCAATTTTTAATAATTTGCTCAATTAAGCGTCATATTAAAAAAGGTGTTAATGTGCTGAAAAACTGTAAATAAATTTATTGCGAAAAATATTATCGGCAGTCGAACTCGAATCTCTTGTTTTCCGTGCGAGAGTCCTTTATTTAGACTATCGACTCGTGTTTATAAGTCCGGAAAACCAATTTCCAGCCACGCTCAGTTCGAATGACTACAAATGTAGTATAGATGCTTGTACATAGTATATAGGGTGAATCAGAGTCGTTGAACCAGCTTTTTATCCTATAAGAAAATAATTGACTGCACACGTTATAATTCAATTAGATATGAAGTCGACAATTTTCTCATAGGGTAAAAAGTTGGTTTAACGACTCTGATTTATTTTGTATAGTGTATATATATATA